CAGCCCGGTGCCTGCGCTGCTCCCAGACAGCCGTCCCCGGAGAACACCCACGCTGCCGGGTGGAGCTGCAAGGGGCATCTTGGCCGGGGTGCGGCAGCTTGGGAGTGAAGGATGGCAGGGTTTTATCTTTTCCAATTTTCAGCAAGCCACATGCTGCCCAGCACCCCAGCGCAGAGCCCTCGGTGCTGCCCAGGGGATGTCCATGGGCAAACCCTCCCTGCCTCGGACAAGGGCACCTGATGCCAGTGGCTCTGCTGGCATCGGGGGCGATTCCCCTGTGCCTCCTCTACCCTCCTGCTTCTCAGCCAAGCTCCCCACTCCAGTGGGGCACACGGACTGTGCTGGGAGGGCACCTCATCCCTCCGCCTCCATCCCATGGAGAGGAGAAGGGGTTAATGCCAGGCAGCCGAGCCGCAGGTGGGCGCAAGAATGAAATTCCTTCTCGCTGTCCTGCGAAGTCTGGGCACAAATATTTGCCTGCATGTCCGGTGGGGAGGGGGGAGACCACCATCGCTTCTGGGAGTTTGCTAATCCCCATGCCAAACAAGGCCCCCACATGCCCCACATGCCCCCCGTCTTCCTCCTGCCGGGGTCACCCTGCAAAGCCTTTGAGAAGGGGACATTTGGGGTCAGGGGGACACCAGCACCTTTGGGTGCTCCTATGACCAGGGAGCTCTGTGGAGTTGACCGGGCACTTGGAGCAGGTATCTTGTTCAGGAACACTGCCAGGGTCTGTTTGGCGTGGCTGATGAGATTGTTTTGGGGTTTCCATTCTGCTCCCCGAGCCCTGGCCGAGATGAAGGCGAGAGCCCCAGCCATCCCCACCATGTCAGCAATGCACCCTCTGTAATAAATTCCATGTGTTCACAGACAGAAAATAGCCAACTTCCCCACTCCATTGCCCTCAAATTGCATCCCCCTTCCATACCTACCACCCCCAAAACTCCCTCCATCCCCAGAGCCCCCTGGCCTTCATCTGGGATGGCCCAGCCCTGCAAGTCGCCTACCAGTTGTGCAAATATTGCCGGAACGGCTGTAATCCCTGTGTCCAACGTGAATTATGAGATATTTCCACCCATTACGACAGCCCCCCCGCCCCACCGCGTGTGTGTGAGGCCGGGGGGATTAGACACGGCACAAGCCACGCTCGCACAAAGCTTTGGGGAGGCTGAGGCTCTCTGCATCCCACAACGGGGCGGGGCGCTCGAGGGGGGCTCTTTTTGGAGAGAGGGGGTGCCCCGCATGCCTTCCTGTCCTCAGGCTTAGGCCTGGAGGCAGTGCTGGGATGCCCAGAAGGCAGTGGGAGGCTGTGAGAAGGGGGGCCCATGGCATGCAGTTTCACCAGACCCCATCCCTGGGGAGCAGAGGCTCCTTCCTGTCGCCCCGAGCCGGGCTCATGTTCAAAGCCGCGACCAGGCAGCAGCTAATGAGGGCAGACAATGGGAGCTGCTGAGGGCAGAGCAGGGTGAGGGCCTGCTGAGACACCCCCACGCCAGGCATGGCCCAGCCCTGCCACCACGATCCTCTGGAACACTCCACGGGACCCTTGCCACTGAGCGGGGCACACACCCACCGAGCCCTGCAGAACTGCAGGCTGTTCTCTAGGGCACCGTTGAGGCACCCCACCTGTACTTTGCTGGGACAGGATACACCCATGGGACCATCACCGCCCCACTGGGGACAAGCCAGTACCCACCCTGGGAAAAGGTGGTGGAGGGGTGAAGGTGCCCGGCCTGAGGATGCCCATTGCCAGCTGTCTCCATCGCGGTGCAGCTCCAGCTGCCCGCAGCTGGCAGCCCCGTTGGGGATGTGCCAGTGCCAGGCCCAGCTCTGGAGCCTCAGAGGTGCCTTTGTGCAGGGCGCTGCTCCTCACACACATGTGCAGGCACTGGGAAGCAGCTGCTGGGACCAGGACCCTTTGCCAGCGCTGCCCTTGGCAGGCACCATCCCCTCTCCAAGAGCACAGGGACCCCCAAGGCTCTGCCAAGCCTCCTCCGCCTATTGATGAGGGCACCCCTTGGCATTTCCAGGGGCAGCCCAGGCTGTGGGTGAGGGAAGCCCAGGCACAGCTGGATCATCCATTTCCTCACTCCCCACGTGCCCCCACTGCAGCGGCCATGTCCCCCTCCCTGGGCAGGGATGCCCAGCACCCTCCTGACCCGACAGGCCCCATGCCAGCATACCACCCTGCTCCCAGCCTGGCAGTGCCAGAATACCCTTGCAGCCCCTCTCTTCCTCACCCTGCCACCCTGTGCCTCGGATTCCCCCGTGCCGAGGGGCTGCAGCCTGCCGAGTTCCCCGTCCCTCTTTCCTTTCCCCAGGAAAGGGGAGGGAGCTTCCCTCAACTCTTCCCCGTGTCCCGCAGACGAGCCAGGAGACTGTGACGAGCTCTGGGTGCACAGAGCCAGCAGCGGATTCCTGGCATCGGCGGGACAGCTGGGAGCCATCTCCCGCCTCCTCCCCGCTCGGCCCCTC